CAATATCGATTGTGAGCGTGTGCCCGCGCGAATTTAGTAAGCGGAATAAACAAAAGCAATAAAAGCGCATGCGCCATTTATCTCATTTTGGATAAAAATAATTCGATTTCCCCAGAGTCATGCCACAACCTAACCCGCGAACAGGCATACTCTGGGAACGAGATTGGGTTTTAACGGGACTTTGCAGGGGAAATACAGGCTTTTACAAACGTCGCTTGTTTGCTACCCGGGGTTTTAACACTGACTTAAATAGCCGGGGCATTTTTAACGCTTGTATACGGCCTGGGAACTAATCGAATTCGCATGCGTTTTCTTGGCCTTCTTCACAGATTTCGTTGGATTTTGAGTTTGTATACATACTTTAGTATTTTTTTTTATATTATGGGTGATCAGAATACAACAACCGAAGAGAAAAAGGTAAGGAAACAATGTTTTTTGGTTTAATGGAAATATTAATGTTACGTTTTTTATCAAACTGCGGAAATTTGGAAAAAAAAACACCCAAATGTTTGGGCCCGGTAACCCAGGGATTTTAACAATTGAACAAAATTTTTTAGCCGGGGTTTTAACAACCGTGAAATGTTAAAATCCCCGCATAGTCCCGGGGGTCGGGGGGCCGGGCTTTCGATTGACTAGTGCATAAATCGTAATGTAAACAAAAGCTTTGTTTACATTTTGAACTGTTATACTGTATTTCTAAAATATGATATACTAACTGAATATCTAACACTTTTCTGGTTCGCTATGCTTGTAAATGAATTGAACTCTACGTTTCAATTCAAAAAAGTTACAAAGATTATACGTGCAAAATTTGGGCAATGTTTATATCTGCGGGTCCCCCTTTGTTATGAGCAGAACTGATGCGCAGAATGGACTTTACAGCATCTTTAAATCTTACACAGTAATAAACATGCTCTGCAGTTCAGGTTTTGTAATGATGTAGACTGCAACACAATCAAACGATTCCTTGGATATAAAATCTTCAGGAATCTAAAATCAACAACATACATGGTATCATATGTGATGTCACAAATTACAAATCACGGTCAGAAATAGAAATATGTCATTATTTAAGGTACAATTTCTGGCCTAGAAAATCGTGCACTTTCTTACAAAGAGATACAAAATGCTAGTACATAATCTAAAGTTATTATAATTATACTCTATTTTACCTGGTAGGCAATTTTTGGTCCTGCAATCGGATGAAATTCACAGAACATTATTGCCTTCACATTTGTCGCCATCTTGAATGAACTGGAGCCAGTAATATATGCAGGTCAGTGGTTGTATTCAGCAAGAGATGAGCTCGATATGAACTGGAGTAAAATCTCCTTTGCTTTGATTGGTTGCCTGCAAAGTATTACGATTGGTTGGTTTAACAACAAATTCTGAAAACGAAGAAAAAATTTCTGATCTGATAAAGGGACTGGATAGAGCGACTCGTTTTTTCGCTGATGCGGCATTTTGCGCAGTGGTGGTTGCGCATTGTGACGCAAAGTAATTAATCAAAGTGCGTCAGATATTTGGAAAGAAGTAAAACAAAAGTGACATCAGACAACTTTTTAAAACAACTTCAATCTATCCAAGGGACAATTGCAAGAGAAATCAATTTCTGCCTAAATCTGTGGACCAAGAGAGAAATATGTCGAAACAAGAGTCGGGTCTTTCAGAAGCTCAAGCGAAATACGTAAACAGTTGGTTTGACGGGCTGACGTTCACGCGCGAGGATCCAAGGTTCAAGTACACAACAAATGCTAGATATCAAAACGTTTGCGCAAAAATTGAACTTGTCGAAGAAGAACTTACTTCGTACGAGATGAAGTCTCGTATTTCTGACCAGAATTTACATGGCGGAATTTCAAGGAAAGGAAAGTGCTTGAATTGCGACATATGCAGCAAGAGGGGGGATAAAACGATTGCAAGTGACAGAAATATGCTTATTGGAAACATCCAGCAAATCTTGCCCGAAATTCGGCAAAATTTCGTATAGATAAATGTGTTGTAAACAATTGTAAACTAGTGTGCGATTTGATTTGAAACATTGCGCAGTTAACATTTATATTTTCATACATTAAGGCATGTTATTTTTCACCCTGCCTGGTTTCCTTTGTTCTTATCGGGAAATATATTCAATATTCCCCTCTAATCAATTTCCGTTTAATAATCCCCTCTAATATTCACCTGCAATGTCTTTACAGCACAAAAAATGAGAAAAAAACAACATAACGAAGGCAATATGGCATTAAGAATTATTTCCATTCTGACTCATTATTCGAACGCGACCTCGCAATGTGAAAAATAAGTACGTTATTTTGAGGCACCTCGGGGATATGTGTTTATTCACCTCGGTGCTGCGCGCCTCGGTGAATAAATCACATATCCCCTCGTTGCCTCAAAATAACCTATACTTACACCTTAAGCCCCGGTCAAAAGAGCGGATGAGAGTTGATGAGGGCCTGATGAGAGTTGAAACTCTCGCGTTTGACATCATCGACTCTCATTACTAGATAGTGCATCTAATTATTCTGCAATTCAAAAATTGAAGTCGTGATTGCAGACTCCCATATAGATAGATATTCCAGACAGATATTCCCATGAAATGAGAAGACTCGTATGTTTTCTATTTCTTAAACCCATTCCAAATACATTTTTAAACTATTCAAATGATGGAAGTTATTGTTGTTTTTAAGCGTTTATTAGCGAGTGGGAACTACCAACATGGCCGCCATGATCCATTCCAGCGGGCCCCCATTTGAATAGATGGCGCCGCCATCCAGCGAAGGCTCTACTCCAGACGATAGGCCTTCTCTCGAAACGTCCAAATTCTCCTTAATTTTTCAGGAAGTTGCATCCCATTCAGTAGTTGCTTTAAATGGACCTTTCACCTTTGGACTAAAATCTAGATTTCAAAAAGTCTAGACAAAAATTGTATCACAGCTTGAAAGAGCATCACAAAATTAGTAATATTCTGAAGTTTCGTTGCGAAATGTTGTAAAATGCGGATAATATAGCCTTGCGAAGTTTGCAATTTTCAGTCATTTTGTATTACAAACGGGAAATACATACCCTTTTTTCGAAGGAGGTATGTATTTCCCGCGCGTAATACAAAATGACTGAAAATTGCAAACTTCGCAAGGCTATATTATCCGCATTTTACAACATTTCGCAATGAAACTTTGGAATATTACTAATTTTGTGATGCTCTTTCAAGCTGTGATAAATTTTTGTCTAGACTTGTTGAGATCTAAATGTTAGTCAAAAGGTGAAAGGTTCATTCCCAAGAGCAGAAAATCGTGAGCTTACAAAGATATTTTAACTATTTTAATTTCTTCAACTACTCACAATATATGCATCCTGTCGATCATGTTTACGCATCTTTGCGTCCAGTTTGGTACGTGCGTTCGGATTCTAGCAGTGCGTTGTTTCAATGGTTTTGGGTTTTTTGGGACACCCTGTACAGTATACTGTGACTTTAATTAAAAGGTATATGTTAGGAAGAGGAGTGGCACCATGCAATGGACTTTACGTCCCGGTTTGTGCCTTGCCGGTTTGAGTACGGCACTTTTTAATAGACCTTTCCCCTTATGAGTGAAATTTTGATCTAGATATGCCTGGACAAAATTCATCACAGCTTGAATGAGCATCACAAAATTAGTAATATTCCGAAGTTTCGTTGCGAAATGTTGTAAAATGCAGATAATATAGCCTTGCCAAGTTTGCCGTTTTTCAGTCATTTTGCATTACAATCTAACATTTTGCATCAGTTTGATCATCTGATTATCAATTTCCCGTTTGTAATACCAAATGACTGAAAAACGGCGAACTTCGCAAGGCTATATTATCCGCATTTTACAACATTTCGCAACGAAACTTCGGAATATTACTAATTTTGTGATGCTCTTTCAAGCTGTGATAAAATTTTTGTCCAGTCTTGTCTAGATCAAAATTTTACTCAAAAGGGGAAAGGTCTATTGTATGTTTAGATGCCGGAATATTTGTTGATTTAAATTGTACTCAATAAAGTTTAACAAACATCCCTATACCAACGAAAGCTTGTTCATTTGATTGGCACAACCTACACTGGCGAAGACAGTTCAAGAATATTTACTATATGTTAAAGTATTTTCAGTATGTTTCAGTACTTTATTCTACTTTGGGTAAGCAATTCGTGCTTTATATATAAACAGTTAGCATTTACTTTCGCCCTCGGCTTTCGTATCTTGATTCTCACTTCGCATTCCATCTTCTCCAGTTGTACTAAAATGACGAATCTCTGACATCTCTCTGGATATGGATTCTTGTTGTTTTTGATTCCACATTTCTCCTTCGCCTTGCTTTTCCGCTACTTCACCACCAGAGCTCCTGGCCTAAAAAGTTCCATTGCAAGTCTTTCAAATACATACAGTTATACATTATTCAGTTCACTTCATTGGGGCTTTTCAGTGACCGATAACATCAAGTATTACGCTCACTTCTGTTACACACTTAGATTATTTATCTTTCACAACAATGAGTGATTCTAGCTACAGACTAAATTTTGATCAAGGCAAGAATAACGAAATCCAACACCACAGCTAGAAAGAGCGTCTTAGGATGCGTAAAACTGCAAAGATTGGTTGCTAAATGTTGTAAAATGAAGAAAATACAGCCCTGTGAAGTTCGCAAATTTTGTATATATTTGCATTACTCGCGAGAAAAATAACCATTTTTGAGCCGAAAGTGGTTATTTTTACCGCGCGTAATACATTAATCATGTAATTGTCTAAGTCAAAATTTCGTCCGTAGCTGGGATCGATTCATTGTGATACAAGGGTGGGTAGTAGCGAAGTAGTTGTAGTTCGCTACTGTAGCGAACTACAATTTTCAAGTAGCCAGTAGTTTTTGACTACTTTTTTAAAACAGTAGTTGTAGTTATAGCGAACTACAATTTGCCTAAAAGTAGCCAAGTAGTTGACTACTTTTCAAACAGCGAATCGCTATTCGCTACTTTTTAAAATTGTTAGCAACGTTCATAGAATAGGATGATATTAAGACACGGTTTGCTTAAAAGATTATTTTACACAGTAAAGATTATTTTAGCGCAATGAAAAGTGGCACTCCTGAACACTGTAGTGCTTACAGAAATGTTGCTTTGACCCTTCTTGTTTACTGTTGCTACTCGTAAGTCGATTTGTTATAGGTTGTATTACAGCCTGAGCTAGTGGATGCTCCAAATACCATAAAACTAAAAAATTTAGAGTAGCGAAATAGCGAAATAGTTCGTTACATTTTTTAAGCAGTAGCTGTAGTCAGTAGCGAACTACCTTTGTTAAGTAGTAGCAGTAGTTGTAGCTGACTACATATTTTTGAAGTAGCTGTAGTTATAGCGAACTACAAAAATTTTGTTGTCAACCCACCCTTGTTGTGATAATACTTTCCTATAACTATGTTTATCCTAACCCACCCTGTCAACTTTCCCTGTGGGAGGAAACCGGAGCACTCGCAGAAAACCCGCGACTTTAGGCAGAGCGTTGACTGACTCTTTTCACATGAGTCCGTAGCGAGAATCCGACCCACGATATCTCAGAGGTGAAAGGATTCTGACGACATAATTTTAATGAGAAAAAAACTTGTCTTCGTTTGATAATTAGGCTATGTCCACATTTGGAAAGTGAAAAAATTGGCAAGTAATTATTTGGAAAGCTGTTAATTTTACGATGTGGTGTGCTTTCCTCTTTATCATGATTTATATATCATCCCCATTTAAATATTACATTTAGGTAAATAGGCAGCAGTATACTCTAGTCCACGGTTGAGCAATGACAATATCAACTTATCAATGACAATGTGTAGCCACATTAAATTCAGACCTACATATAGAATTTAATGGAATTCAACTGGAAAATACTGATAATCGGAAATTACTTGGAGTTGTTATCAAATAAACATTTATATAGTTTGAAAGCAAAATTTTGCGTACTAAGTAGCGAGGTCTCTTATTGAAGAAACACATCTTCTAAATATCCATATAATAAAGTTTCCATTATTATTATTATTATTATTATTAATATTATTAGTTATTATTATTATTATACAATTGTATATATCTATAAATGTTATATTAATTAATAAAGTTTTCATTATTATTATTATTATTATTATTATTATTATTATTATTATAACCAAAAAGAGTGGGATAACCCAAAACTAATGTCAATATAAATCCTTTAGTAAAAATAATTATTGTATGATAAATATATATAGTATCAATTCAAGTAGACATTGATAAACTACCTGTAAAGCAAGCTTTATCATTGTAGTTGTATATATCCTAATAATCAATAAATAAAGTTTACATTATTATTACCGTTATCGTTATATCATTATAATTACCATTATTATTAATATTAAAATTATTATTATGATTGTTACGTCCTCGAGGGAGTATAAGCGGACGTGTCCACGATGCTCCTTCAGGCCCCAAATGTTTCCTCAATTTTAACCGGTTCAAGAAGCAGAAATCTGTTGAATTATATCTTAACTTTCTTATTGTGTGTGTCAAACTATCAAATTATCAATCTTTACAACGGCGGTGTTCCTAACGAGAATAAAAACAGCATTTCTACAATTCTACTTTGGTTCTGTGCCTTGGTTGCGTGTTCCTTTTGTAATGTGGATTTCAAAAGTCTTGAAAGATACTCGTGGCGATGTGAGGGAAAGCTCAAATATACACAGAGAGAATTGACGATCATCTATCATCATACACTAGTTCACATCGACGACCAGTTAGAAGTATCTCTTTCCGAACGGGTTTTGATAATCATGATAATCAGGCTGTAATGACGACCAGACTTTGTGTTATTGAATTGATCATCGGCTTCGAAACTAGTATGGCAAAAAATTGTTTAAGGAAAAGAGAACGATACCACGATCCCTGTAACCTTTTGAGGGAACGATTTAATAAAGTAAAATATTTTAACTTGTGCATTGGTGCTATTGGTGTATGCTTCATAACTTCTTAGGCCGCAAGGTAATGCTAAACGACAGTGGCGGAAATTCACTTTTTTCGGGGGTGGGGGGGGGGCAAAGCCTCCTAAATTTCCGACAAAACTCTCAAATTTCCGACATACCCCCCCCATTTGCACTCGAAAAGACTGTTTTTAGCCCTCTTTTAGGTCAAAATTTCCGAAAATTCGTCAATTTTCCGTGAAGGTGGGGAGGGGGGGGGGCGGCCGCCCCCCCCTGCCCCACCAAGATTTCCGCCACTGCTAAACGATCTGTAAAGAAAATACATCAGTTAGAAAACTAATTGGTTGTTGCACAAGGACAAGTTATAATATATTTTATTCTAGAAACAGACAATGAACCTGGCCAGAACTCTTATATTGGTAGATTTCATGTTATCATGTGCATCTAGACTATAGTATTTCAAATGACACTGTCCTATAACTTGTAAACACGTTGGTTCTTTACGTAGTATTTTAAATTAGTATTGCATTAGTATTCCTGCATGTAGTACTTTTACAACACTGTTCAATATAGTTTGTAAATTTTTAAATCTATAGTTTTAATCCTTTGTACCATAATGGTAGCCGGGTTGCCTAGTATTTTAATGAGAGCTGGTTACTTGTAAATTTGGAAGAAATAAAATATGTTTCCATATCTTTATAGCTGTCAATTAAGTCTCTGGATATCATGTCAACAAATGAATTTTTAGCAGCATATACAAAGGAAAACTAATTCGCAATTCATCTATGGCATAGGCTTCAAATAAAAAAATCCAATTAAAGTTTGTTTACCGGACCATTTTAGGATTTCGATGTCACTGAAAGAAAACTTATTCACGCAAAGGTGAAAGGCTTAAAATTATAATACCTCAGATCCCGTCATTGCGCGGCCACGTTGCTTTCGCTCAGTTGGTTGATGGAAGTCTGGGTCCGAGTACTGAGATCCCTGATCACTTCGTTGACCCACATTTGCCCAAGACAACCTCCCGTATCCATGCTGGCCACTGACATCAATTGGCTGGCTCAAATATTCTTGGGACCGAGACGTCCTGTATTCACTTTGCTGGCTAGAATATTCTTGAGTGTGACGCCTTGCCTGAATTCCGGGTGGTGGTTGAACGACACAGGCTGGAGGCTGTGTAGGTTGCGAACTGAGCCTTCCTCGTAGCCGGTCGTTGAATTCATCAGGTTGGGTCATATATTCTTGGGGCTGAGACAACCTCCCACGACTATGCCGGTCATTGTATTCATTTGGACGGCTCGAATATCCATAGGTGTGACGTCTTTCCTGAATTTCGGGTGGTGATTGAAAGACACTGGCTGGAGGCTGTGTAGGTTGTAAGCTGAGCCTTCCTCGCAGGTTTCGCCTCTGGCGGGACATATCGGTGTAATAAGGGGTAGCCGGCGGGGTTTGGTACATTAGGGGAACACTGCTGTTGTGATCGGAGTGGTGGTGTCCGTATTGTGGTTCGACGTATCTACGTTCTGATCTTGGTGAAAAATATTGGAGATGTGGCTCTCCATAATGTTCGTACGATGACCATTGATTATACTCGCCTAAAAAGTAAAATCCCGTTCAAGCGAATCAAACATCCTGGCTGGGAAGTCAGAATGACAAAAAAAAGGTGACAATTTCGAAGAATTAGCGTTGGTTACAAATAATAACAGAACATATAATCTGAAGTCATATCTGTTGTGTCATTGTGTCTGTGATTTGTCTATCACAGGAGAGGTTGTAAATTGCTAGCGTCATGCTTTGATACGCTGCATCACGTGATCTTACGTTGGGGACAAAATTAGGCCGAATAATACCCGCCATTACTCTGTTGAAGACTTCAGTATCCCCGGAATTGGAACCGAAGATTTGGGCTATGAAGCAGCCGATGTCAGAGCTGAAAAACCGGAGTTTGCACAGCACCAACTACTTTCAAAAAGAAAAGACGAAACGCAATTCGCTCACGACTCGTGGAAATAAGGCTTCCGGTCAAGAAGAGATTTGTGAAGTAATTATCATCATTCAAGCTTAAATCGAAACGACACTGGGAATACATTAGAATCTCAATTTACCTTTTTGCCAATCCTCTCCTCCAGCACGTTTGAGTTTGCTGTGACCATTGGATGGCTCTTTCTTTCTTCTTGGCCAATAAACCGCCTCCTGATAATCACGTGCTTTTGGAAAATGTGTTTCAGGAAGGCCGGTTATGCTTGCGTCATCAAAGTCGGATGCCTCAGAAGTACTAGTGTCGGGCTTCTTCGATCTTCGGGACCGATTTCGCTTCCTGGTTGTTCTTGGTCGGTTAGGGGTAAATGGATTGTTGCTGTCGTCATCATTGTTGTTGTTGTTGTTGTCGTTATTGTTGTTGTTGTTGTTATTCTTGCTGCTGTTCTTGTTGTCGTTATTGTTGTTCTTATTCTTGCTGTTGGCGTAGTTCTTATTTTCATTGTAATTATTTTTACTTGTCTCTTCGTCGCTGTCGTTATCATCTTTTTTGCCCCTGGGTACGCCGCTCATTCGACACAGATCACTTCGACCGCGCAATATCAACTTGACATTCTTAACATCTCTCGCCAATTCCTTTCCGGACCTCTTAACTTTCCCCAAATCCTCGCGGACAATTTCCATATCAGATTTATTCCCCTTCCCGTAACGCCGTCCAAACCGCTCAGCTAGAACGCTTTTAATCTGCCGTATGTCGTCGTACACTCGTTCGATCGTCGCTCTCTCTTCGGGGCATGCCGTCATGAGTCCACCGTATTTCGCTTGAACAATTTGCGGACTTGCGTTGGTTTTGATGAACTCGTAGTACCGTTTGCGTTTCTTTGGTCCCATTCGTGATTGAAGCAACACAATCGTGCTCGCGCGTTGCATAACCGCGTTCGCAACCGCGTTTTCGTAGTGACGTTCGAACGTGTTCGAAACGAGCGCGATCAGCAGGTTTAGCGTGATAATGCCCGCGACAAGGATGAAACTTCCGCATAATATGCGCGCCATATTTTCGTTAGCTCCCTTTAGTTCTTTCCAGCCGTAGTCTCCAACAATCGTTATTTGGAAGATGTTATATAGCAGGGACGATACGTCGGTGTAGCCCTCCGCCGGGGTCGTGGAATTAAATCCAAATTCGATCCAGAATGCGCAAGCAAAGGGAATAATTATGATCGCGTTCAAAACAAACCATTTCAAAATGTCTCCCACGACGTTACTGAAGATCACCACAAATGGACCTGAAACAACGTATTGGAAACGTGAAATATAAAATGAAAACTAAGGACCGGGCAATATTTTTGGCGGGCTGGGCAGGGGGGGGGGGTAGCAACGAAGAGAAATGTTTTTCTTTGTAAAATCTGGTGGGGGGGGGGGAGGGAGGCAACTGAGGAACAGAGAAATTGAAGTTGGACAAATTTAAACGTAAGTTGGGTAGAAAGATGTGGGAAATAAATTGAAAGGCAAGAGAAATATCTAAGACAATAGTCGAAAGAAGTATGTAAAGAATTTTTGGAAGTTTAGCATGGAAATGATTTTTGATACGTTGCGCAAAATGTAAAAATATCGGGCTAATTTCCCCCCTAATTTTTCCCTGCCGTTCGCCTATGATAGAAGTGAAAGAAATATGGACTCAACGCCATGCCATCAAAACCTCTGTGGGGGTGAATAATACATACCGGCATTTTCAAACGGTCTCGCGTACTTAAACATTCTGAGCCAAGAAATCAACAGCATCGCAATCGTTGTGCGGTTGTTTATTTTCTTCCACAATTCGGTATTCTCACGAAAGAACAGCATACTTGTGGCTATGGTCGACAAGATCAGAAATAAACAAATCCAATCGAAATAAACCCATTTGTCCGTCATGGAGGCAAGACGAAGTCCTGAGAAAAAGATAAGTCATTCGGTTGAGCTAGTTAAGGGCCTGGGTATTGTTCATACCTAATTTTAGTGTGCAGTGATAACCAACTTGTCCAGTGATAAAATGTAAAATGTGCAGTGATAAAATTTTCTGTGATGAGTTGTTAATTATATTAACAAGAAAATGAGGCAATGAGCAGAAATGTTGGCATAGCCGGCATTGCAGTCTCCTGAGGAGAGTGGGCAGCAAGGCTCTTTCATGTACCACCCCATGGAAAACCTGCACCCCTCCTTGCAGATGAGCTAGGTTAGCCGCCATTCAGTTGAAAGGAAAAATTAACAGCCCCTCTATATTTACATTTGACAGCATGAATTAGGGTACTGAGCATTGAACCGACAAAGACAGTTAAACAGTGACTCGGACTTGACTCGGTTAACCGACAAACGCCGAAATTGAATAAAATTCACAGTCGAATAGGGTTAGGATACGTTAGGAGTGGGGTTAGGGTTAGGGGTAGAGTTAGGGTACTAAATCATTGAACTACAAAGACCACTAAACAGTGACTCGGACATTTGACTCAGGCTCGGATTTGACTCGGATTTGACTCGGTTAACCGACAAAGACTACGTGCACACGGTAACGTTTTCGAGCGTTTTCATTTGCGTTTTCACGCTAAAACGGATGCGAAAACTATTAATTTACGACTGAAGCTGTAGTTTATTTAATATATTGGAGATATTTTCCTTTGAACCACGTGAACATGGCATCAAAGCGATTAAAGGGACAAAAACGTTTTTGAAAACGCTCGAAAACGACGCCCGTGTGCACATAGCCAAACTCATCCTGGTTAGGTCCAATAAATGTATCAAAATTCCACTCGAAATTTCCAACTACTAAAGCCTTCTGCATGGTGGCCACCTAGAAAGCCTTCGACTCCAACTCAACTCTCAGTTGAATGGAAAAATTAACGCAGCTTTTTACCTTTGACAGCTTGAATTTCTGAGTCTAGTAGTTTGCTTTCCTGTGGCCATCTTGGATGGCAATATTGTTTGTCTTGTTGTAGTTGTTCCGCTCGCCATTCGCGCCATTTTACCAATTCTCGTCTTGTGTTGATCGTTTCTAAAAGGTATATGGATGTGTTTGGCCAGAATGAGAGTAGTGGACATGATGATGAAGATGATGATAGTGGTGACGAAGATGATCGTGATGATGAGAATAGTAAATAATAGTGATGATGGTGATGATGATGGTGGTGATGATGGTGGTGATGATGGTGGTGATGATGGTGGTGATGATGGTGGTGGTGATGATGGTGATGATGATGGTGATGATGATGGTGGTGATGATGGTGATGATGATGGTGGTGATGATGGTGGTGATGATGGTGGTGGTGATGGTGGTGATGATGGTGGTGATGATGGTGGTGATGATGATAGTGCTGATGATATGATCGTGATGACGAGAATAGTGATGATGATGGCCTGGTGGTGATGATGGTGGTGATGATGGTGGTGATGATGATGGTGATGATGGTGATGATGGCGATGATAGTGATGACGATGGTGGTGATGGAGATGATGGTGATGACGATGATGGTGATGATGATAGTGCTGATGATATGATCGTGATGACGAGAATAGTGATGATGATGGCCTGGTGGTGATGATGGCGATTATAGTGATGATGATGGTGATGAAAGGGGTGGTCATGAAGATGATGGTGGTTGTGATGATGATGGTGATGATAGTGCTGATGAAGAAGATCGTGATGATGAGAATAGTGATAATAGTGATGATGGTGATGATGATGAGGGCGATGATAGTGATGATAATGATGGTGGTTGTGACGATGATGGTAATTGAGATGATGACGATAGTGGTTGTGAGGATGGCAATAATGGTGCAAATAATGAATTGGTAATTGTGCTGATGGCAATAATGGTGCACATGAATAAAAAGAAATTGATATTCAAAGATTCTTACAGTAACAACGGTACAACAAGAACAACACTATTTGTAACTCACGTATGATTTGTCTTTTAATCTCAGTCAAGGTGAATAAGATAAGCAAACCATCAATAGTAAATCTCCAGATATTCTCTCTTACTGGCAGATACAACTCATGTCCATGTTTCGGAACTGTCACACCTTCGACAGTCCAGAGTATTGTATAGATCAGATTCAAAACAAGATCTAAGATGGCACCTGTCTTTCCATAAATATTCCATTTGACCGCAATAAGTCTTCTCATGACTGGATGCATGATGATATCAAACCTTTCAGTAGAAAAAAACACGTTTACATATTGTCCAAATATGCTACAATCTTGGACATAACTGGTTTGAGACTATCTTCCCCTCTATACAGAATTCGCAATTTTGTATAGAAAAAAAAGGGTTTTTTCCATTTTTTAAAAACTTTTTTATAAAAAAAATTTTTGTGTAGAAAAAAATGGAGTTTATCATAATACCTTAAGATAAACTCCATGTTGAATCATGTTACTCTTCTTAAGCCCCCGCTTCTCCAACTCAATGTTGAGCTTGTGTCATGGTAAATTACTAAAGGTTTTTCGGCGTTGTTTACAACATTGAACTGGCGGAGATGGGGTGACAAAGTTTGTTTTGTGCCTTTTGTCAATGTGCATTAACTTTGCCTTATTGGCTGGAACGATCTCAAGGGTCCAAGATTGTAGCTCTATGATAGCATGCATAACATGTTGCATCTGTGCGTATCCAAATCGCATTGCAGCACTATTGTGACACACAAATGGATGACTAGATAATATTCATGTCAAACCGTTTATTCTGGACAGCTATTTCCAGGGGGGCACGTGCTGGTGTTTCCCGCAATTCTTCCTTCAGTTTCGCGCCTTCGAGGTAGTTGAGAAAGTAAAACTCTCGTCTGTTGATGTAGTCTGTCGTGTGAAGTTGGTCCAGTGCTATTAGCGCAACTTCGGGACTCTTTTCAATGAGGAGTGATAATGCAGAGTTCCCCAGGTTGTCATACACGCCAGCAGGCGCTCCCTCAGTCACTAGAAGTTTGGCTGCTTTGAAACGGTTCATTTCTGCGGCGATCTAAGGTGACATAAAGTTCATGAATGTTATACATAAAAACTTTATCCACTCTTAGAGTAGGCGTTGTTCAAAATTAACTTTATACTATCCTAGAATTTGATCAAGGACTTCATAAAACCTTGGATAAAAATTTTATCCAAGCCTAGGACATCAGATATGATCAAAGCTTTGTCCAGTCCTAGGACTGTATCAAAACATTATCTAGAGTCCTAAAAGTTGATCAAATTTTATCCACTCCTAGGACTTGAACAAAACTAACTTGACCAATCCTAGAACTGTCTAAATATTTACTGAGTTTAACAGTCAAGGATACCAATGGGAGATATTTTATACTTGTAACGGTGTCCGGTTTCTGCAGTCGCGAGGGTCAATATTGGCTCCGTAACCTAGCAACATCTGAATAGAGTTGACGGCGTCATTTTTCGCGGCGTAATGTAGCGCAGTTTGTTCTTCGCCTTTCGTCTTGATGTGAATATCTCCACCATTTTGGACAATATATTCCACCATACTGGCGTAGTCGACTGCTGCGGCAACGTGGAGAGGAGAACGACCAAACTCATCTTGATGATTTATGTTGGCACCTGTTTAAGACAAAATGGCGAATTAATTCGATCAATTCTAAACATTTCTTCCTCGATTTCCAGCACTGAGCGATTTCGAGCATTTCTCCTCGATTTACTAGAATGACGATAGTGCTGATGGTGGATGTGAAGATGATGGTGGTGACAGTGGTGAAGATGATAGTGATCATGATGGTTGCAGTGGTGATATGATGATGATAGTGATGATGATGATAGTGGTGATGGTAGATGTGAAGATAATGATGATGATGATAGTGATGATGATGATAGTGGTGATGGTGGATGTGAAGATAATGATAGTGATGATGATGATATGATGATGATAGTGGACCTTAGTGGTGATGGTGGATGTGAAGATAATGATGATGATAGTGATGATGATGAT